CCTTGCAATCAGTAGATGACCTGCTGTACCTCCTGAGCTACAGTCACTCCAATCCAGCGGCTGGATCAATACAGAAAGGGATTGATCTCATGTGTATTTGTTTACATAGTTTTTTGGTAAAATCATATTTGTCATTTCAATCTCACAAGCAACTCATTTAATGCCTGGCAAGCTTTGAAAAAAGAAATAATAAGGATAATAATAAGGAATTAATGAGGACTGCTAGACAGCCAGATGATGCAGCTAACTTGGTGTCACTTGAATGAATTCTTTTGAGAGATCCTCTGGCCATCAGACTGCTGAACACGTCATAGACACCTCAGCTTCACTACTGGAACTTCAACATTATGCACTCCACACTGTATATAAATGCCACTTGTTCTGCACATATTCAACTCTGTATATTTTATATATTTTATTATTATTATTTTTATTTTTATTTTTATTTTTTTTTATTTTATTTTATTTTTACTATTTAATTTGTAAAAATGTGTACACACACACACACACACACACACACACACACACACACGTAGGAAAATATTTAGTATACACATCCAGAAATGCATACACTATTATATATTGTACATATATTTATTAGTTTCAGGTTGGCCATTCTTGTATTTTGCTCGTTTGTGTTGTTTTGTTTGCACATCTCTGTTGCTTGTGGGGCTCGCACACAAGAATTTCACTCGCATGTGCTGTGCCAGTGTGCCTGCACATGTGATGTGACAATAAAAAGTGATTTGATTTGATTTGATTTGATTTGATTTGTTCTGCTGACTTAGAGATGCATAAAAGACTGACATATATTTGATGCCCTTGCTACAGCATTTGAAGATATCTTCTTTTTCTTTCAACTGCTCTCTTTAGGAGTCGCCACAGTGGATAATCTGCCTCCATCTCACCCTATCCCCAGCATCTTTTTCTGTCACACCAACCCTCCACGTTTTCCTTCACTACATCAATGAAACTTCTCTGTGGTTTTCCTCTTTAACTCCCTTTCTGGCAGCTCCATCCTTAAAATCCTTTGTCCAGTATATCCACCATCTCTTCTCTGTGCATGTTTAAACCATCTTGGCCTTGCCTGTCTATCTTAATCAGTCCACTGTCCCTCAGATGTACACATTTCTAATTCTGTCCATTTTAGTCATTCAGAATGAAAACCTTAACATCTTCAGCTTGGCTTCCTGTCTTTTTGTCAGTGCCAACATCTCCAAATCATAGCAAGCCTCACGACGATCTTGTAAACCTTCCTTTTACACTCTTGCTGATATCCTTCTTTTTTAACAAATCACTCCGCCTTACTCCACCCCGCCTGCACAATCTCCACCCTGTGTATTTAAACTAACCTACCATTATTACCTCTGTTTCTTACAGTTTCACTGTTACGCCTGTCTCCCTCTCACACTTGCTTCTACTGACTTTCATTCCTCTTCTTTCCAGTGCATTTGATGCCTTTGTTACCTGTTGAAGATGCTGCTGGATGTTAAGCATTCACTCAGCCTTAACATCACTCTGGCTTCTTTAACTGGCTTGGTTTTAGCATGCTGTCTGTGCAGATGCTTGCACATAGCCAATGCTGGATTAGCAGTATAATGTATTTGTTTTACCCTGGTCACAAATTCCCCTCTTGTCCTTATGTGCAACAAAAATAAAAGTAATCTTCATATCACCACTCCACAAAAAATGTAAATGTTTTGCCATTTTCCTCCTCCCTTCACACGAACCAAAATCACCTGATTGTTGTGCAAGTGTCCAGAAAGAAAGGAGGGTATTTAATTGTTTTCTCTTTCAATGTGTCATTTATGCAAATAAATAATACATTATATTGCTGCATAACCCAAAAAACTTAATATGATTACAGAAATCGGTTGCTGTGTAGCAGATTTCCCCCAATGTTCCAAAGGACCTCCACAGGGGAGAAGAATGACGAAAACATGGACAAAATGAACCCTCAAACATTGATGATGCTTCAGAAGATAAAAGTAACGCAGCAACGGAAATTACATAAGTATTGTATTTTAGATGACGGCATGGTCCTTGATCCTATCATTTCCAACAGCATTAAAAGTGCACCTGCCTACCCCATTAACCTTTGAGTATACTCTTGTTGCATCAGCATGCTAACATACTCACAATGACAAGCTGTACATTAGAAAGCTCTTATTTATTAACTGTGAAGATATTATTACTTTTACAGATGTTTGGACAAATATACATTTTCCCCCTGATGATGGGACAGAAAGTTAGAGTATTGTTAAAATGTAAATTCCATAGTAATCAACAGTATTTTTTAAAGATTTTAAAGGTCCGCAAACTTGAAGGACTTATCTTTCTATGTAGACTAAAACAGATGAGAGCATGTAAATGGGCACTCTGGACAAAATATCATAGCGATCTGTGCCGGGACCAGTATCCTTTACATCATACATGCTTCCATAGGGCAATATTATTAGAAAACACTGCATATATTTTCCTTGCTATGCAGACGATATTCAGCTATATCTGAATGAAGCCGGGGCATCGTAGAGAAATTTGACATCTTACCCAGTGATATCTGACATGCAGACTGGAGCAGCCAGGGATTAGTAGATGGCCTGCTCTAAGGCCTGAGCCACAACCAACTTTGCTTATGTTTTTCCCATATTAATATTTCTTCATTGGCTCCCTGTAAAAGCCAGAATTGAATTTCAAATGCTTTTCCTCACATGCAAAGTCTGAACTAATCAGGCCCTATCAGATCTTAAAGACCTCATACCACATTATGACACTACAGCACTTCACTCTCAGATTGTTGGCGTACTTGTGATTTCTAGAGTTTCTGAAAGTAAAATGGGAGGCAGAACCTTCAGCTATCACGCCCATCTCCTGTGCAACCAGCTCCCAATTTGGATTTAGAAGACAGACACTTTCCTATGTGATGAAACCTATACTTGGGTGGATCAAGTGACCCTATTATAGGTTCAGACTGCTGCAGGACTTCAGGCGATACACTGTGATGCACAGAGCACTTCTTTGCAACCAACAAATTAAACTGTCAATACAAATAAGTGTTAACAGGCATTAGATTGAATCAAACCATCACTTTCAAATTTGTAGCTAATGGCATCACATTTCAAACTGGTACAGCTCATGTAACATCTGTTTGGGCCCTTTACCACTAGGAGTGATCTGCATTTCTCTTTGGGTTCTATCTCTGCATGATAACACATGTCATCTGCACAGTTGCTATTATGCAAATGGAGCACAAACACACATTTTATCAAAAGACATTTGTCTCAGTAATGAGCAGCAGATGACAACTTTGCACCGATGTGTTGTGCCACTTCACTATTAATTAAGATCAAATTAGTTTGGAAATGTTAAAGTTCATCACTCTCACAGAAGGGAACTTTTAAGTTGTTGTTGTATTAGGGTAGTATCTGATGAAATGTCTGCTATGGAGACATTAAAGTGCACGGGGAGATGGAAGTTCATTCATTTTAAAAAATAAATAAATAATAATAATGAGTGAGTCACATTGGAAGAATGAGCAGGTGAGGCCTCACCAGGAGGAAGTAAAGGTGACAAGAGTGAGAAAAAGGTCATTATGGAGATAAAGTAGTGCACCAACACAATTTTCCAGTGTTACTGGCATTTTCAGCCTTTTAAAAAAAGTTCAATTTAACACAGCTGAACTACTACAAATAAACAGACTATAGTTTTAATGGGTATGTTACTATGATGTACTTCTTCTTAATATACTATCACATGACAAACAGTAACATTTACATAAGTAAAAGTAGGAATATCATATTAAGTGGTGGTGTAAAAACTAAAGATGTTCTTGCATTCTAATGCAGTAGAATGAGCAAGGAGCACAAAATGTACCTGAAAGCTGTACAGACAATACAAGTAAATTAATTTGTCACTATTTTAAATGTATTGTGTTTTTTATCCTATATTATAATTTGATTTTAATCACAGAGGCGTATTCTATATTGTTTTGTCTGTTTTGTCACTTTAAATGCGTACAGTCCTTTCTGTTGCTATTTCTATTCCATTAGACATATGAACTTTTACCACCTATTACTGTGATCGTTGTCAGAAAGAAAGCATCTACAGAAGCTTAAATGGATGGTTGATAAGGTTAAAAGTAAAATTGGGTTAATCAGCTGATCTTTTCAAAACCATGGTCTCTCCTAAGAGGTTACACTGTATAGTTGCTGTGGTGGTCGCTGGTACATTTTCTGTCACTGGTTTGTCAAAACGGGTCATTTAAAGAAAGGAAACCAGTCAAAGCTGTGACTCTAATCTGTTATAAAAGAAATGCAGGTTTAAAAAAAAAAGAAAATTTAAATGTCTTATGTAAACATAATTTTCAGTTAATTCAAGTGGTTTACTTGCTCATTGCTCATTGATGAAAGCTCCAAATGTTTTCACCGGTATGGTTCTTTTTATATGTTTGGTCTTTATGATATGCATCCTGCATGCCGTGCTTGGATAGATTTCACTCAAAAATATGCTTATGTTCAAAAATGCTCACTAACTTTCCACGTAATTTTGTTACGTAAGTACGATGTAAAATATTCAATTTAATGGAATCTGGTCAAATGAAAAATACTTGATTGGTACATATTCAGTTTATACCAAGCATATTTTCTTTCTTTCTTTCTTTCTTTCTTTTTTTTTGTGTGTGTGTGTGTTCCGTGTTGAAAGCAAATTGCCTCTCACAAGGACGCAAATATCACAGCACAAAGAAGAAGACATCCAACCAAACTGCAAATAGCGGAAGCTTTAACCTGCACTGTGTTCCTCTGTGAGCGTAAAAACGCGTTTTGTTGTACCTTTCACTCCCCAGCCCATCTCAAAACTCCTTTTTTTAGTTCAGCCCACATTCCAGTCTATTAAAATCCTCTCCCAGTGCGCCAACGTTTCTTGCTTATCTCTTGAAATGTTTGCGTGTTTGCAGAAACAGAAAGCCTCACACACTCACACACACGCGCGCGCGAACCCACCGCTGTGGTCGGTTTGGTTTTGCGCCTCGCTCCTCCTCGTCTGGCTACATATCTCACGAGCCCTCAGGTGCTGGGAGATGATGGCGCAGTCCGGATGAATTGCTTCGGCCTGAAAATAAGATCCAACTAAGTTATCTGCAGGAAAGCAGACACATGTGAACAAGCTGACTTTCTTTCGCTCGGAGCCTGATGGAGTTATGGTGCCAAACGGTGCAGCATTTGTAGGGGGGGAGCGACTTGGAAGTGAAATGCAGTTTATTAAACAAACATCAACAACAGACATAGTTTTAGAGAAGATAACGAGCCTGCACTCTAGAAAAGAAAAACGACATTTACGCGTGACTTCCCTGATGTTTACAAGTTAATTCAAGTTGACATTTTGAGCCAGAATTTGAATCATACTAAAGAACAGGTCCCGTTTTTGCGAATTCATTCCCCGATCTGTATGACAACATCTCTATATCCCCCCCGGCCACCCCACACACACACACACACACACACACACACACACACACACACACACACACACACACACACGTTTTCCCTGCTGATTTGCTCTTTGATTGATAAAGACGCAGGTTGATGGATGCCGGTCGCTAATTAGCGCCTCCAGCTTAATGAGGACATTTGCCGTTCAGGTCTGATGCACGCCCCGGAGAGAGAGCGAGAAAGAAGGCAGAGGACAATGTGAAAAGGGGTATTAAAGTAAAGATGTCATTAGGGCGTAATTGAGAAGATCGTTTTCTAATTAAAAGCGTTTTTGCGTGTTAAAAGCTCACACCAAAGGGACTTTGTTTCACTTTGAGCAGCTTTTAATCACTTCATGGATAACGGCACCTTGGCAGACAGGAAGATTCTGCGGCGAGTGCGCATAAATAAAAGAATCAAAATGCCACTCACCACGGGGCTGAACAACATCTGGAGATAAAAGATGAGGACAACAAATTTCCCCTGTCGTCCTTTCAAACCCTTACAGTTCATTTCCATGTTCTTATCTGTCTTCTTCATATCCCTCACCGGATGCCGATGAGACCGCAAATCCAGGTTTATTTGTTCTTTTTTTTCCGCCTCTTCAAGCCTGACTTCTTCTTTATAGCCTCGGTGCGAGCATGTACTCTGTCAACCTATTTCTCCCTGCCAGCTGGAAACTTGAGGGAGAGGAAAGCTTCTCTCTCTCTCTCTCTCTCTCTCTCTCTCTCTCTCTCTCTCTCTCTCTCTCTCTCTTGCTGTGTGCAGATGAATGAATATCGCCATTCAGAGACATGGGAGTGGGGGTACGAGATATTAAAAATAATAAATTTTAAAAAAGAAGAAGAAGACAAAGAAACAGCCAATGGCCTATTTTCAAGTCATATTTTTATATTTTGTAAATATTTATGACTAAGATGCTAACAGTCAGCCTAAAAGTGTAAAAAAAAAAGCTTGTATTTGTACACAGGCTAATAGGCAAACCATTTAATTATTAACAGAAGACATCATGACCTACTAAACAACGTGTAGGGGGTGGAGTGCAAGTGTCAAGCATTTAGAAATGTACTAGTCACATATTTTAATAACAATTGTAATGCTCACACAAAAATGATGATGCATTTTAATCAAAATAAACAGTACGTAACCGTACGTATTCTTATATTAGCACAGGTGCCATGTCATTTCAGCTTGTGTGGGCATTTGCCCCCCCTCCCCCCTTATTTATTTTTTTTCAAGATGGTTAGCAATAAATATTGTTAAATTGCTTTCATGGTAAGGGTTGGGTTTAGCATTGTTCATAAGAAAGAACACAAAGATGCTGCACTTATGTTTTTACAGTAGAGTGGTACACAAATGGGGGTTTTGGCACTCTGATTTGGAGCTATATAAAACTGCAGAGCCAGTTTATTTATTGGTAGTCCAGTCCGTGATTTACGCAGAGGGTGTTCACGTAAAGCTCCTTCATGTAATAAAGCTGGAATTTGACAAATATGTTACTGACTACATGAGAATTAAAAATAAAATGAATTAGTCTCCTTTTATTTTTCTTGGAGAAAACATTGATGCTCTGCTTGTGTCCGCTGACTGGTTGGTTAACGACTTAAAACTGGAGATGCTCGCTCATAGCTTTTAAAATGATAAGTACAACAGACTTTAGAAGCACATTGGAAGCAAAGCATAAAAAATTGTACATGAATCTGAAAGGAACTGGTTGGGGTGGTCCCTGATGAGTGCTGTCAGGTGGCTGCTGGCAGAAATTCTCTGCTGCTGCTCTTTGATGTGTGAAATCTAAATGGCAAATGCAGTAAAGTGGTCTTTGGAGCTGTGGCATTCCCCATCCTTACAGAGAGGTATTGCAATAAGCAAAATGTCAAAAACAAAAGTAAAAATAAAAACCAGAACTTTGCCTGTATTCTATCAAATACAATAAAACATTTTTTTAAATCTCATCAGTGTTACATTTTTAGGTTACAGCTCTATAGGGTTCAACTGATTCTGGACTTGTGAGCACCCGCTACGAGACCAGAGAGTCATAGTTCCCATATTTAGAAAGTCTCTGGTATCAGAGCTTATGGAAGCTGTGAAAATGGTGATAACTGTGCAGTTACCTGAGGCTGGAGAGCTGAATATCTTTTTAAACAATGAGCAGTTTGATTTGAGTATATCTGAAATTACTAGAGGTGTGCCAGCAGTTGTTAAATATGAGTAATTAACAGTTAGCCTGATGTGAGAGACAACCATCAGCTTGTTAAGCTGTTTCAACTTGCTTCTTTGATCTGGCGCCACAGTCGCTGTTGATCATGGTCCCAGCAGGCCAGCATCCTTTCACTTCCTGTCTCTCTCATCTCCTGCTATCTCGTTTGCTACCATGTGGAGTACAGTCAGGCCTTGGTGTCCTGCCCTCAATCCAGCCACCATACCTGTCTATCGTCCATCCAGCCATTTCCCTCTATTTGTCCAATTCAGGGTCACAGGCGAGCTGGAGCCTGTCCCACTTAGTGCAAGAGGCGGGGTACACCCTGGACAGGTGGCCAGATCCTTCACTCTTCACCTGGTTGTTGTCACCTTTGCAGCAGTAACTTGGATTTCAACTCACGAGTAGTTCTTGAGTGTACCTTCTGTTTCCTGACCTCGTTCTCGCACCAAGCTTGGACTCAAGTCACTTGCGAGACTTTCATGTTGTTCATCTGCAGAGGAAGGATTTTTCTACAAATCCAAGCTGCTTTTATCTCCTTCAAACTCACCTGCCTGCCCACTCTCCTCTGGCACGGCATTCTGGAAGCCAACTGCCAATCACAAAGAAAACAAAATTCAAGTCGTTTGTTAACATTTTTGGCGAAATAATCTTCTGCAACCGTATTTACCTGCTCTCCTCTCTGGAAGTTCCCCGTGCCCCCAAAATGACTCACATGATCTTTGCCCAAAAATCCTGTTATAATAAAAGTTATTAAAAAATTTGTTTTTCATTACAACTCTGTCATCACTTTCCAAAGTAGAGGAGACTGAAAATTTTCATGACTAATCATTGGAGTTAAAGATAAGCAAAAAAAATCCAAGTTGACACACACACTGGTTTGAATACAGACTTTTTGGATGAAGAAACCGGCTGGGGCAGCAGTAGTGTTAGATTTCACCTGACAATTTGCTAAGGTAGTGTGTGTTAATGTTTTCACTTGTGTTGCTTGCTGTGTTTTGAAATGACCACATAGTAAATCTGGGGCTAAGTGGGAAGATAGATCTGGCCTCGGAGCTGCTCTGAGCAGGAATTTATGGTGTTCTTTGTTGGGGAAAAAGAAGCACAGTAAAAGTGTAATAAAGATGTTCCTTCAGAAAATAATGCTCATCTCCCTCTCACACCAACAGGTCAACACTATCACCCTAAGTGGTAAACCACCGTAAGTCTCATTCTGTAGTTGCTTTTGTTGAGACAACGCCGGTCTCTGCCATTCTTTTGGTCCTGGTAGAGATTACGCTGAGATGTTTCCCTGTTTTACACAATCCTTTTATTACCCATTATTCTTACAGATGCATCTGGAGAGCAGCACACTGCATCCTATGCAGTCCTATGCTAAAGGCTGATCTAAAGAACTTTACACAACAGTTACAGTTATAACCTCTGGTCTCCTCCTCCCCTGCAGTAAACACCCCCACAATGGAAATACACTAGTACAGTGGCCAAGGGTGCTGACATCCTGACCCCCACCTCCTTTTAAGGTAGTGTCCATTTGCCCTTTGTCTGCCCCTCACCCTCAGTAACTCTTGCATCCTTGCCTGGGGATGGGGGTTGATTGTCCTCCTGCCCTGCACCCCAGTTCTTTGTTCCCATTCCAGGCCTTCTTACACCCATTAACGGCCATATTGTAATATTACAATCAATCCCAAACTATATTCTCTTTAACTCTGATGTATATTAAGGAATCTATTCTCAACACTTTCTTCCTGTTTAAAGCGAGACATATTTTTTATCAATTTAAACTGCATCAAAACAGGCTTTGAACAAAAGCAAGTTAATACGCAGAGTACTGAGAGGCTCATTATCATCTATGATTTGATTCTTTTAATAAGAGTATATAAATGAATGCAAGGTTAGTGCTGATGCATTACATGATTGTGTTCTGTTTAGAAAGAGTGACATATATGATTTGGCAGAATATGAATGTATCAATTTACTGTAAAGAACTGCAAAATGTGGCTGCAATGAAAGAACAGCTGTTAAAGTACCCAGAATGATTTCAAGAAATTCACTGACTGGACTCAAGTGTTACCGTATTTATGCCTTTAAACAATGCAGTCTATACTGGAACGCTCAAGGTGGTTTTCAAATGGGGTCACCCTATACAGTTTTCAGATGTGAATGTGGAGCAGTGCAGTGCTAAAAAAGCCAAAGCCTCCCCCAAAGAGTAGCTTTCCAAGAACAGGAATATAGGTTTCAGCCTTGAAGTGCTTTTCAGAGCGACCGAGTGATTAATCTATCGAACATTTTACTGCAACCAGAGCTCCTATCAAACAACAGAGGGACGTCGTGAAGGTTTTCATCTTTCTCCAGGTGTGAAACTGAAAAACAAATCTCCCTGCAAAAACGTCACACGTTATCAGGGCGTCACCTCGGCACGGGTTTCCCATAATGGTGATCCTATAACACGTTACCTGTTCACACACTGGGGACAAAAGGTTTTTGTGCTGCCTGGTGGGTAATTACTTGTTTTTCAAACAATGCATTTCAACAAGGCTGGACATCGCCTGTTTGATCACTGGTTTCAATTCTGCGGAGGCCAATCTTTATGTTGCAAGGATGCCGTAAAGCAGCTGAGTGTCTGATAACCAGAGGAGTCAGTCCCCTTTTTTCATGCAGGTGTGGGGGGGATTTGTTTATCTTAAACCCATATGCAGCAGTCTCCCACTTTAGGATCCAAACAAAAGGACATTTTATTTTGCAAATTTAAAGACCAACATTCACTAATTCAAGAAATTCAAGTGTGTTTGGACCTTAAAATAGCATTTAAATCTATTTTTCTACTGCCACCATCCAGGTCACATCCTCCTCAGACCAAAACAATCAATCTTATCTTTATTTGTTTAAATATGTGAACAAATGGCAAATATGAGATTTATTTATTTGATTTTGCAAAGAGCTGGCTCCAAATTAACTTCATAAGTGAACACAGATCTGCTTTATTGTGCAAAACTCCTGCTTTATATTGCACAGGTCCCTCTTTTGCTGCCAAAATACTTCATGGTAGGAAATCCATAAGAAGTATACAGCTGTCCTTGATTCAGGGTGTAAGATGTTAGCACTGAGTTTACTCTGGGCTCTGCTTTCAGGTTTTAAAAATGCAGCTTCTAAAAGGAGACATTAACCTTTTTTAGGCCAGAACTAGTGAGCTGTGAGGTGAGATGATAAATTAGTTAAACACAACAGTTTGAATCCTGCGTGAAGCTAAGCAGCATTAGTGAAATCTGTGCTTGTCTGCTGGTGTGGTTTAGAACAGAGGGGAGAGTTGCAGGAGGACTGACTTTCAATTAACATTCACATATTGTTTTTTTCCCTCCTGCAGCTTTAAGTCCTGTAAGTAGCAAAATTGGGCCTCGAAGAACAAAACTTGTGTCACATGC